ATTCCTTAAAATTTGAGATCTAGACATCAAACATATAGGAACTCTTTGAAGCAATAAAAAAAATGCAAAGGTGATTTTCCCAGACAATGCATGAAACTCTAAGTTGTAAAGCTACAGGCTGTCCTTGGCCTCCATCCTGAAGATGCGGCTGTAGTACAATGTACTCCTGAATTCTAAGCTGTCTCACAAAATGGTTTTCCTAATATTGCATGTGCCACAACAAAATAAGCACGGTGGCTTTCCCAACTCACCTCCAGCTACTTCCAAGGGCCCATTCTTTTTCCGGAGTTCTAGAACAGCTTCCACAAACTCCTTGCCACCTTTCTTCTCCAGCGTGTTTCCTAGACAAGGACAGGGTGGGGTCAGGTTGCTATTCTGTATCTCTGGCACATAGACACACTTAGCATGTCAGGTGATTACATACTTCAAATGATCTGACTAGCTAAATTTCCATCAGGCTGCAAAACAGGAACTAAGTGTCTTGGCTAAGTTAGTAAAGTGAAATTGAGAAGGGCTTTGTCATCACCAGTTACTAGCATTTCATTGCTGCTTCACCTGGCTGTCTTTGCTGCCCCTTATTTGGGTCTGACTCAGGGTCATGGATGACCTTTGAAAATTTAAAAATTTTAAAGTAAACACTCTTCACATCATAGATGTGCCACAGATGTGAAGGACACAGGAGATGCTTGTTTTTTTGCAAGTATGCTTGTCCTGGATGCTTTTCATTGGCATGAGATACCAGCTGGTACTGGTTTCCAAGACTAATGCCCACCTTGGGTTTTCTTCTCTGTCTCTGGGGAGAACCCCCAAATAGGGAGGTTTCAGCAGCACACAATGCTCCCATCAAGAAGCCCTCTCCTCCTGGCAGCAGGCCTAAAAGAAGTGTTCATACTTGGCCACCTTTGGACCAGCATTATTACCATGCTTAGTTCCTGTTTTACAGCTTTGGTGTCATATGCAAATACAAAATAAAAATGGCCTTAGACGGAATTTTCTTAATTACACTAAGGATTCAGAATAATTTTCAGTAAAGGAGGGCAGCATCAGAAGCAGAGCTTAAAGATTAATCTGTATTCTATAAAAAGCTTGGAAAGGAGGATGTCTAACTGCTTAGGACCAGATTTTTTATAAAAGCCAATGGAGGTTGGGTAATGTATTTTCTTGAATTGGGGCACTTGCGAAGTAATCAATTCCTGCTATGAAACCAAGTTCCCAAACAAGATCACCAACACCCATAAGAACTCTGGGTTGATGCTCATGTGGAATAGCACGTGGCAATCAAAGTTAGCAACAATATCAGCCTTTTGAGTTTGGCCAAAATGGGTCTGAGTCTTCCTTAAGCTCTGATTCCTCAGTTTTGCACATTTTAAAGTACTTTTCCTCATAAGAGGACAAAATACTCCCCTTAAGATTCACCATTTGTCTTAGAAAATTCCAGGTGCACCTGGCACAATTCTGGTATGGGACAGTCTGTACTGGAATGCACCAGCCCAAATTCTCTTTGGAGTCACCCTGCAATGAGTAGGGCTAATTATCTTAGTGAAACTTGCCTCCTTTCAGTGTTTGTTCTACAGGGGTAAACTAACCCCAGGTGGTGTCTTAGAGGAAAAGTAAACAGCCTGGGGGTTCCCAAATAAGAACAAGGGCTAATGGCTAGGACTGGGCCTGTACCCACCCATGTAGAAAACCTGGGGTGTCCAGATGAACATGACCAGCAGCCATCACCCAGAGGAGCACTCGGCTGTGACTGAGGGCAGGGCTTTGGGAGAGGCACAAACTTTGCCCCTTGAGGTGGGATTTTGTGTCACTCTTCATGATCTCAGACTGTCCACCTGCCTTTACCTGTCCTGAAAAGCAGCACAGGCTTTAAATGGCAGAGTCAGAATGTCACACCTTTTGCTGCTGCATGTTTCTAGTTAAGTCAGAATCAGAGGTGGCAGCTGAATGGGCCATGCACTGGAGGAAGCAAGCTAGGGGCTTAGAGCCCAACTCCACCATCACAAAGTGGATGCAACCCAGGTGACTGAGACCCCGATATAGGTTCACCTAAACTATTCCTGCAGCTGAGAAAAGGGAATCTGGAGCGTGTAACAGCTGGATTCCACACACTGCTGCCCCTGGGGCCCAGTCTAGCCTTTGCTTTTAAACCCATTCCCTGGCTTGAGGCAGGGCAATGAAAACACTGGAGGCTGGACTAGTTAGGGTTCTCATTATTTACCAAATTAACTCTTTGGTGAGAACTGAGAAATCTGAAAGGTAAAATAATGTTTTTACTTTATCTTGAGTCCAACTCCTTTCTAAAATATTTAAGAAAATGGGCTGATTTATAATTAAAGGTGTTTTATCTTAGGAAGAGTGTTTACTTTAAAATTTTTACTTATTAATATTGCTTTAATTAAAAGTGAAATTTGCAAGTTAAAAATACACTTAAATGCATTTCCCAAACTTAAAAACTGAACCCTAGATTGCAGGCAATCAACCCAGTCAGGACTTGACTCCTACACACACATATGTATGCACATGTTCATGTAGACACACGTGTACTTTTTAACAAGAAACAGGCCCATTTTCAACCATATTGTCAACACTCTTATTGTAAGACTTTCTTTTTAGGCTTAACTTCAGGGTTAATCATAAAGCAATTGGCTTATTTGCCCCCAAGCATAAACATGTGTTACTCCCATGAGAACAAGAACATTATTTCATGCTTAGAAAGCAGGCATAAGTATCAGTGTTCAAAACAGCCTAAGCGAAAATTTAGGCTTGGACAAATGTCAGGCTAAGCCTGTGGTCTATTTCACTGTTAGAAAGAACTTTTGATGGGTAAAAGTTAATCACTGGGGCTAAGCATTCCTGCACTCGGATTCCTTCTTCCAGCAGTCTCAGGAATTCACACCAAATATGAGAAATGGAGTGATTACTAGCTTCCTCTTTTCTCCTCTCACACATCAAAGTGGGAGCTGGGACCAATTGAAGCCATGTAGGAATCTGGTTTATCACTGGGATCGCAAAAGATATTTGGGGTCAGTACTGGTTTGGGCTGGTCCACTGGGCAGAAAAAGCCCTGGGGGGCTTTGGAAGACTGGGTTCTGACCTGGCAGTCTTTCCGCCTTAGCCAGCTGGGATATCTGAACCTGCTGAGGATTTTTACAGCTGGGACAATGTCAGTGAGTGATGTGTGCCAGGGTCCTGGGCAAGCTTTTGGGTCCAGGTTGCTCCTGTGGCTTGGAAGCTAATAATCCCCACCCTGTGGCTATCTGTGGGTTGTAGGCGAACATGTCATAGAAGAAAAGCATTAACACTGTCCTTACTCCAAAGAGACCCGTTCCAGTCATAGTTCAGGAACGACTGGGCTCTTCTGGGTGGCACAGTTTGCTCTGCCTGTTACTCCCTCATAGCTTCCACCTTGGCTCAAAGCTGCAACTCTGCCTCCTGGCATGGCTAATCCTGCTAGGCATGGCCTTCCTCAGGCTGCAGCAGGCAGGCTGACTTTCTCCTCTCCCAGGACTTAGGTAAGATACTTTTGCCCAGGAAGTTTCATAATTCCCATTTCGCCAAATGTCCTGGATGGCGGGATGAACCCAGGCCTTAGTCACTCCCAGATATGACAAAGACAAGCCCTTAGCTGTTCTCATTTATTTTTCTCTAAATAAGTACTTCCCTCCCATTAAATTTTCACTTGGTTAAAAGAGGAAGCATCTTTCCCTTAAGCCGTCTGACTTTGGAGCCCTTTAACTCCTCCAAAGTCTTGTGAAAGGGGAGTTTAATTGTCTATAGCCTGATTTCATTTTGGCCTGGCAGACTTGGCAAATCCTGACTTTCCATCCAGTTTCTTTCCATCTATGTCCAAAATCCAAAATGCCCAGGAGAGTGATTAGTCCAAATTGCAGTGGCTGGGGAAGACTGAATGGCAGTCTTTGCTAGTGATGCCAAGCACGGCTGAGAAGCCAGAGATTGTAAGCTACTGCACATCTAGCATCTGGGACCCTTGTGGAAATCCCAATCTCCTCATCCTGCCAGATGACTTCATTGTGTGCTGACTAGAAATGTAACCATTCTCTTTCAGAGCTGGTATTTGAATCCAGACTCAGAATGCTGCTCTCAGGACCAGCACATCTATAAAAATCCCATATACATACAAGTCATACCTTACAGCAGGCACCAATCATGAGCCAGGCCTTACAAAAAAAGATGCTCTGCTTACATTTAATGTAATTCCCATCATTACCATTACCTTATAGATAGGGAACCTGAAACACTGAGGAGTTGAATGACTTGCCCAGGCCCCATGATCAGTAAATAGTGAGGCTAGGATTCCAATTCCTTCCACCTAGTTCCAAAGCTGTGCTTTTTTTCCTATCTCATGTGGGTATCTCCTCCTCAGACAGGCCCTCAGTGTGTTCTGAAAGCAGGGCACTATCTGATGTTCCTGCCAGGAATCTTCAACCTCGGGATGTGGCATCTCAAGTGCCCTCTGTCTCAGCCACCCTCAGCTATTAAGCACACCAGGAATCAAACAACAATGCCTTGTCAGCTGCCAGGGGAAAGGAAGGTGCTTTCTGGGTCTAGGATGATGTTTCTCATGAGTGGTCTAAGAATACCATGTCAGATTGACATGATTTTCACGCATCTGAGGTCTGAGAACCCTGAGTGTGAGCAAGCATTTGTAAAGGGTCCTCCTTGTGCACCTGAGGCTTTAAGGGCATTTTCAGAAACAAGTGTGCTTCTGACATGGAAACAGATTGGCGGGGTTGGGGGATGATCTGTGCACAGCCATTTGTGTTTGTCTGCTCTTTAGAGTGCAAAGAGGTGGTCTTGGATGCCACTCAGTCCCTGTGACTGTATTGTTCCTGCAGCTGAAATCATCTGTGAACCCAGTCTCCAACAAAGCTGTGCCTTGTGGGGCAGGTGAAGGAATGATCCTGCTGAACCAGTTTTCAAACCAGAAATGCCCATTTGTGACGCATCACATCCTGACTGACAGCTAGCTTTATTTCTAGGTTCACAACCCAGGGACAGGAGACCTTGGGAAGGTCAGGACAGCTGGAAGTGTGAAATGAATGCAGCCCTGCATAGCTGTCAAAGGATCAAGCTGTCTGCGGCGGCCGACTGACCATGCACACACACACTCGGCAGCACCCGGCTAGGCATTACCTACTTCACCACCGATGTAGAAGTCAGTGTTTGTCGGGTGAACGACAGCATCACTGTCGATCGAGGCAATGTCAGCCTGTACAACTTGCAACTATAACAGGTAAACAAATGTATATCAACTGTGTTGGACCGAGACCCACGCACAGGCACATTTACTAATGCCCCAATGGCAGGGCTGGCCTACCTGGTCGATTCCAACATATGAGCCCAAGGGGCAATCAGTCCACGCAGTGTGCGCACATGTGGATGGGGGTGAGGACAGGAGGAGGAGGAATATCAAATGTGACATGTTTAAATTAAACATTTGAATGACAAGTCCAAAAAAAGAGAAACACACATGAGATCATTTCCAAAGGTTAAAAGAAATAAAACGAATGCCCCGTTTCACTTCGCAAAAGCCTATAGAACTGGCATCCCACTGAGAAGGCTACTAAAACATGGCATCTGCTTAAAAAAAAAAAAAAGTGGACCATCAGGCCAACCAAAACAACAAGTTTCTCCATTCTGTCTGTAGCAGTCAACTTGCAGCCTAGATTTTTTATTCTTGTAACATTTACCATTTTGTCTACCTTCAAGGGATTTCTCTTGAAAACCCAGAAAACAGTATTGATACACATAGAGAATTACCTTTATTTCCCCCCCTCAACATATGAGGTGATCTCTATCAATATTTTTCCAGGCCCATTTCTTCCTCTAGCCTATCTTATTTTTATGGTTTTTTTTTTTTTCTTACAGACAGGGTCTTGCTGTTGCCTAGGCTGCAGGACAGTGATACAATCATAGCTCACTGCAGCTTCAAACTCCTGGGCTCAGGCAATTCTTCTGCCTCGGCCTCCCAAATAGCTGAGACTACAAGCACATGTCACCAAACCCAGCTAAGTTTTTTATTTTTTGTAGAGATGAGGTCTCACTATCTTGCCTATGTTGGGCTCCAACTCCTGGCCTCACTCAATCCTTTTGCCTCAGCCTCCCAAAGTGCTGGAGTTACAGGTGTCAGCCACTGCACCTGGCCTTTGTATTTTAGTATAAAATGCGCTTTGGAAAGAATACTTGATTTTTCTAGCTTGTGGACTTTTTTTTTTTTTTTAAGTATCTGTATAAGGTAGTTGTAAAACAAGTTCAAGTTGGACACTCTTGAGTCCAGTCCTCATCTTTTCAGCCCACTGTTGCACTCAGTTTGTGTGGGTGAGGCCTGGGCTCATGGAATGAGTCTATCTCCCAGTAAGGAAGTCTGCCATCTGACAAAAGCAGCAGAAGCTGAGAGCTAAAGTCATTCAAAATAGATTGCAACTGAGGATTAGGAAGAAGGCTGCATTTATTTCCCTGGCAAGCCTCTACACTGAAGAGCAGCAGAGGAGCCTTTGCTGTGCCATTGAGCTGACAGTGCCTCATATGCAAAGATAAAGCCACGGAGGCAGGACACTGAGGAGCATCTCTCAGCCTACCCTGAACCATCCGCCATCTTGAGCAGGGAGACACCATGGTTCTGGGGCAGTTTTCCATAAGAACTTGCTTGGAGATACTGCCCTTCTGTTTAATACCATTCTCTAGACAAATAATTCATGAAGGTGGCATTCAGTCATATACTGTTTTCAATTCTAAAAGAAAGTTGAAGTGACGGTAGTAAGTTGTGGACTAAAGGCAGCTTAATACCATACTGATGTGGCTTGTCTTCTTTTTCAAGCTTTGTCATTTCTAATTAAGGTTTAAATGGAGAAACTATCATTTTGTAGTTACCTGAGATTTTTCAGTTCTAAAATAAAAACAAAACAAAACAAAAAAAACAACACGTTTAAAAATCCCTCCCCAAGTAACCAGCAGTCAGTTTGATCATTATGGAAGAGAATTTAGATGGCAATATGTTTGCAATTGAGGAGAGAGTAGCCAATCACACTTAATGAAACATCAGACCATTTACACTGGAAGGGTCTGGAGTAAGTCGATGTTCAGTGTCCACACTCAAATATCAATCTTGGATTTGGAAATTTGGCTTCACCATGGTAAAGTCTGGGAAGATGAAACGCCTAAATTCTGGGTTCCATAACTTTTCATCTGACAGCTGGTGGTGCCGAACCCCGTCCCCAATTACCTAGGTCATCTTTAAGGTCAATGTCAGCATTGGTAGGATTGATTATGGCCTCCACCTCAAAGCCGGCTAAATTACTGATTTCACTGTGAATAAGGTTCAGCTGCAAAGAAAAGCATGAGGTGGGAAATAACAGGAGAGCTGGGAAGTCTCAGAGGAGCCTTGGGATACAGGTAAAGGGCAGTGGACACTCCAAGTGCATGAGGCACAAAGGGAAGCAGGGAGTTGCTGGCTCAAATGAACCCATTTCAAACATAAGACTCAAATGCTGCTTGGGATGCGGGAGCAAGCAAACTAGGATGAATGTTCAGAGCCTGTGGGAGGTGCTTGGGGCAAAAGGAAGCACAAGCCACATTGGATAAGGAAATCAGCTTTCCTTTAAAGGGACTTGTGATATGGGGGCCAAAGTAAGACAGCTGTCAGGACCTAGAATAAGTACTCATTGCTGAGTGTGGGGGCCTGGTGTATGTGAGTGCCCTTATCCTTGAGTCCTGGCCTGGTGCAAACATCCTACCTGGCTGGGGCAAACCCCTAGTGGCTCTGCCATTGTCATCCAAGTGACTATAGGTCTTTAAGGCTGTCCTCATCACTGTGACTACTGGCTGGCTTCCCTGCCCTGATCAGGGTAGCAAGAAGTGAGAATAGTCTGTTGCTTAGTAACATCTAATTTACGTGCCCATTAGTCAGGTAATACTGAAGTTCCCTGGTGAAACCCAGGGGAGGAAAGTTCTCCAGTAAGACAATGTATTTTTTAAATGGTTTTCACCTTGTTGGTCAGGTTGCTGTGAGTCTCAATGGGTGGTTTATTGAGCATTTTCCTTAAGTTTTCTATCTACCCCAATGAATTTGTTCTTTCTGAAGAGCCACTGAATAAGTGTCCCCCCAGCCACTGTTATTCTGTTACAATGGCAATCCTGGCATCTGAGTATTTGAGGAATTCTGAATCTGAAATTCTGTCAGAGGGGTAAGGGGAAGTAATGGGCCTAGGACTGCTGTCATGGGTCCTACCATTCCCCTTGCTTTTCTTTAGGTACAAGCGTCTGCAGGAAAGCTCACTCTTGCACATGCTCTTTCAATGACACTGCTCACTCTTCAGTGACATAAATTCCTAACGCCTGCAGACAACTTCAATGCCTGAGTAGCCTAATCAGAGCTGGTGCTCAAGACTATGACCTTGGCTAGAATAGTGGCTGCAGCCTGCAGGGCTCACCAGGGCACGAGGCTTTGTCCAGGAGCTCACCCAGGAGTGGGCTGTGAACAGACACTTGGCAGGGAAGCTCCTGGCAACAGAGCGGCAAGTCGCTGCATTTCTAGGGCCAAATATTTTGTTGAAAACAAAACCAAACAAAAAACCTGGCACTCCAGAAGTATCGGAAATATAAACACACATTTCTGATTCCCAGAAGCAGTCAGATTCTTAAAGACGGGCATGCTTACACTAAAAGTCATCCTCTGGGAGGAAACAGTTGTGGAATTAAGTATTGTCATACAGCCAATGAAGAATTCTGGCCAGGGCAGTGGACTTCATTTTTGGTTAAAGACTCAGAGAAGAGGACCAAGTTTTATCCATGTGGACTTTCTGGGTTATTGCTCCTAGCACTATAGAGTGATTTAGAGGCCACCCACACCCTTGAAGCTGAAGGAAGCCCATGGGAGTGATCTCACAAAGTGAAGCTCTCAGCAGCTCAGGGCCCTGGCACCAGACAGAGGCACAGAAAAGAGGCAGCACAGGGGCCAGGGCCTGACTGCTGCCATCAGGGAGGAGGGGTGTGGGTAGGCACAGAGTGGGGGGCCTTAGGGTAAGGCAAGTGAACTCCCAGGATTTAGAACAAGGCAAAGGAGTTTACTCTATTACTTCGTTCTGCATTTGGCTCCAAGCAAATGCTGTTTATAAAAACTCAAATTAAGCCAATACTCGCTGGTACACACCACCAAAACACACCCCACACAGTGTGAAGAGGCAGGAGATTGGTGAGGAAGGCAGGCAAAGGAGAAAAAGACTCAATCTACTCAGTGTAATGTGGATGTGTATGCTTTTAAGACATCTATAAATTCCTTTGTTTAAAATACATGTTCAATCCTTAAAATGCACATATTTTTTTCCAATTGTATAGATGCTTCTGGTGTTATATTCGGAAATGCTTCATTGGAAAAGTAGCTATCTTCACAGGCTCTGATTCAGCTAGCCAGGAAGACCCGTAGTGGCCTGTGTCTGACTCTCTTCTGGGGAGAACCACCCACTCTGCCTAGGTGAATGGGATTCTCTGGGGGAAACTTGGCTTTGCTGAAGCAAGGGAGCAGCTGCGGACAGAACTCAAACTCATGGAGAATTCCCAGCTTCCTCTGGACTCACTGCCTTCCCTTCTGACCAGAGGCACACCCACTTTTGGAAGTGTAGACTACAGTACCTCAGGGAGCCACTACAACTCAGCATTGAGAATTCCCAGCCAATTAAGTACTGTTTCTCTCTCTCCACATCTGTGGATGAGGTTAGAGTTGTGATTTTCCAACTATGCTCTGCTATACACTGGGGCTCAGCAGAAGTCCTCAGGTTACGAAGCTGAGCCACACAAGTTTTGTTGCTATAAAATGTGTACAAATATGTATTTTTAAATAATCCTGACTGGAAAGTATGTGCTTGAGATGTGTGCATCAGGGGAAAAGAAGGGGGAGGGGAGAAGACTAATTCAAGTACTTTGGAAAGACAAATGGGTAATCAACTTGGCAGGTAGGCCAGTGGGCAGAGGCCAATAGCAAGATGACCATGAACAAAGACAGTAGCTCCACTGTACAGAAGAAAGCCCATGAGCATAGGGTGCAAATGGACCATGTACACCCATGTCTGGACAGGTCCCCACTGTCCAGTCATACATGAATAGGCAAGGTAGAGCCAAGACGGAGGTCCAGTCCTGGGAGGTCCCAGCGTTCCCTCCAACCAGCTAGGGTCAGATCCAATGGGGCTTCTCAGCTACAAGGATGTGTGTCCATCTGAAGCACATGGCAGAGAAGTGGTCCTTGTGGGTTAGGAAATCAGATTTCTGGGAACTGTAAAAATTCCCAAGATTAGTCTGATTTGCTGGGAGGAATAAGGATCATTAATGGTTTCAGAATTTGGGTAAGGTGATTGCTTCTTTGTACCATCATCAGGAAATATGGAAAACTAAGTTTTAAACCACAACCTGAGGAATTTAAAGTAGCTATGAAGACTTGGCCACTGGAGAAAGTAACCATAGGGCACTGCCAGCTATAAAGCAGGAGGGGGTCCCACGTGGCTATGCAGTTGGCAGAAAGGGTCTTAGCCAAGGAAACTTCGAGATCCCTTCCAGCACTGGGATCCGAGATCCTAATCTCATTGGCTCTGCTGGGTCAGTTTCTGAGACCAGCAGTACCTGAGTCTTCCTTGTGGTGGGGATGTCCATGGGAAACTTTGTTCCTTACTCATGGTATACGCTCATCAGAGTAAGTCTCTTTGAAGGCAAGATCTGGTGTGGCTTCCTAACCCTGAGTGCTGCACAATGCCTAAGCCAGTGCTGGGCATCCCCTGGGCATGTAGAGTTAGAACTGAATATCAAACATTCTCAGACGTAACTCAGATGAAATTACTGCCCTTCACTGCTTTCCTTTAAGGCAAGGTTAATGGAAATGCCAGAGCTCAGAAATTGAGCCCTGAGCCTGGCTTGGATCTGAGGCAGCCCAGAGCCAAGGTGCCCTCGCCTGGATAAGAGGCGGCCCCTACCATTTAGGGCAGGGCAGGAGGCAGTCTGTTGAAGATGACAGGAAAGGAGTGCCTGGATGGACATGGAGACTGCCTGACCTGACCTACTTGGGTACAGGAAATAGTACATTCCTTTTGGTTCTTTAAAAAAAAAAAAAAAAAAAAAAAGTACCTGAGTGGTATGTTGAGTCTAACCTGTGACTGTCAGATTTTGATGTCTCTCATTCTTTCATAACAAGGAAGAAAGCCTGGCTGGTCTCATTTCCCTGTGCTGGACACCTAAAATACAGTTATTTTCCTGTCCCCAAAGTTCACTTCAACGAGGGGAATGGGAAGGGCAATGTTTTCCACAGGACCCTTCCCAGACTCTTCCTGAGAGCCGGAGCTGTCTTCCCTGGGGCACACTACAAGGCTGGCTCCTGCCCTCGCAGCTGTGCTGTATGGCTATCCCTGCACGCATGCATTCCCAGCCTGGAATTCTCCAGAGGCCTTGGGACTGGCAACAAAATCTAGTGTGTCCAGCTAGAAAGAGCCCCACAAAGATAAGGACATGGATAGACACTGCTGGATGGCCAGATGGCCTATAGCTGAGCCATTC